TTATAAGACTTTAAGGAAGCTACTTAACCTCTTTGAGCTCCAGTTTTCTTGTCTATAAAATGGATGTGGTAATAAAAGTATCTTAGGGTTGTTATATGAAATGAGATACTGTGTGCAAAGCACTATATAATACTTGGCATATATTTAGCATCAAACAACTGTAGCTCCTCCTTCTATTATGAAGAATCACCATGAAAATATATGGATAATAGGTATTTTAATTCACAATTTTCTTGTAAATTGAATTTTATTGCAGCAGAATTCTGGGAAGGTCTGTGTTATTATACATAGTTCTACAGGTGCGGAAAATGAAGAAAGATAAAGTAAATTTTAGTCATATAACCCAGGATGATATGGTCTCTTGATTTTTGCAGTTATAATGTATACTAGAAACTAGAAGTGAGCAGAAGTGCCAGAGTACATTTTATTTTCTATTTCTAGATGTGGTATTATAAGTGGTTATATATAATCTCACACTTGTTCTATTTGACTAGAGTCTAGATAGAGATAGCCAAAGATTGGGTAATGAGAGGGAATAGGAAAAAAATGGGAAATAATTATTTTTTGTTTAAAGAAAAGAAGAAAAAGTTTGAATTACAGATTTTAAATATAATACTTACATATTGATACCTAGACTTTAATACCTGTCAGATAATGTCAAAATCTTATTCAGTAGATTTATATAAAATTATTTATAGCATAATTCATTATTCATCCTTTATATTGGATAACCATTATAATGTAATTATCAAGGGCAAAAACAATGTGAAATTTGTCTTTTGGGGACAGTTAATGATGAGAAAGCAAGGTTCATGGCCACCTTTTCAGATGTGCTTTCTTTAGTCTCTTGCTATCCCAGGTGTGGTCCATGAGCCAGCAGATCAGTATCACAGACTGCTTATTAGCAATGCAGAATCTCAGGTCTACCCTACACCTTCTGAATAAAAACATACATTTTACCAAGATTTAATGTAGGCTATGAAGGTTTAAGAGGCATTGCTGTTGACTTCTGATCTAGGTTGATTCTATACTATATTCCTGTCTGCCTGATTTACTTTCAATATTGGAATCAGAATAGCCAGTAGTATCCATTTAGTTTTGTAGAATTTGCAAATCAGAACTCTATTTTTTGAATGACAGGAGTTAACATTTTTCTGAAATGAGAAAATTACACTGTAGCTACATCATAATTTAAAAATCGATGTAATTCACAACTAGGTTCCTATTAAGCTTCTGTTTGAAGGCAAAATGAGAAGTATAAGACTGGAAAGTAATTTATTATTAATTATATCATAGCTAAATTAGACTACATCATAGTATTATTAATTATAGTCAGAAAACTACATTTTGTTTCCCTCAACAAATGGTGAGACCAGTTTCTAAAATATGAATGAGTTTCTGTACCTTTATCCAAGGATGGCAAATATCTGAGACGGCTAGTTTTCCCTTAAGACCCTCCTTTCCCTATATTTGAGGGGCAATGTCAGTGGATCCAGAAAACTCTTTTTTTCCCTCCTGGATCCTGGATGTAACATAAGAATCCTTCTCAAGCATTCTAGGCAGCCACTGTAAATCAAAGTTGCCACGCAGAATAAAAGTTATCAAATGTAGCATTTCATATTAGTCTCCTGCAAATATTAAACAGTTTTTCATTGTTATAAGCAATGAAAACTGTCAAAAACAAAGTACAAGTACCATATTCCTGCCTTCTTGAACCAGACCATCTTTTATTCCTCATGCATCTCTACCAGTGTTACCAAAACTTCTTCAGTGAATATTCAACTTCATCAAGTTATCAGATATTACTGACAGTATAGTGAAAAGAGTAAAGTTCTTGTAATATGACAGAAATGAAATCAATCACCTTCTAATCCTTCCTGTGTGACTTCGGTTACATTATTTCTCTTCCTCATCTGTAATATGAGGATATCATCTGATTTAGAGTATTGAGAAGATTAAATTAGGTAACACGTTAATGTAACCAGTAAAGTAAGATACAGAAGTTTTATAAATGTTGGCTGCTGTCTTCTCTCACTTCCCTTTCCTCTGAATAGATTTTTTGGTAGACAAGGTGACTCTTGTAAAGCAAGTAAAATATTTATCATGTCCTAGAACGGTATTTGTCTCTTGCAAGGCTGTTATCAATAATAAAAACTCACTTTAGTGGGCAGTTAATTAACTATTCTGTTTACTTACTGGATACACTCTGGATGAGGTTCTTAGACTTAATATGTAAAAGAGTAAGGGAAGTTTAGAAGGACTGTGTTTTACAGTACTTAATGGTTACATGTAGAAAGAGAAATAACCACAACAAACTTTGTGATAACAGTCTAAAAATTATTTTTAAAAGTACTAAAAAAAAAAAAACCCATAATGGTCAAAGTACATCTATTGTACCATATGAGAGAACCTCAAGGACAGTGGGAATGGTGAAGTATTTGTTTTCCTGATGCTACAATAGAAGCATGAATGTAAGATAAGTACATATTTTAGTAGACACTTGCTACTGTAATATGTTAATGCCATGGTCTAAAGATACTTCTTGACGATGGTTCTCCTAGGATCTATGCAAGAAAAAGTAATAACTAAAATGTAT